CACTAATATTGTATTATTTTTGTTTAGGGGAGTACGCTGTAATGTATTTATTTGTACGGTACCAATTTGGATGGCTAGAAGTGGAATACAGCTATTTTGCAGCCTATAAAATGATGACAATATTTTTTGGTAATTTATATGTACATTTAATTCTGAGCCTTATTGTTCATGCGAATAATTGTAATTGTTCTTATTTAACAAAACAATATGATTTTCAGGTACGTTATTTGCTGTTTCTGTGTTAAGCCACCATTTGAAAATAAATGATGTAGTTATTGGTGTTATAGCTGGTACCTTTGACATTTTTGCTGCGTTTGGCTACGTACTGGTTAAACAACCCTGGCAAATGTATATCAGTAAGTTTTGTCCATTCCTATACATAGTTAATAAGTTACTTTTGCCACATAGCTGATGTATTATTAATATACAATAATCATAACGTGTAAAAATATGTATTTTACTTTTATTTGTAGTCCCGTTAATTGACTTGTTCCACGGAACCGCACTAACTATTACTACTTCGTTGACTTCCAAAATGGTGGAAAAAGAAGAATTAGGTAAGACGTCCCCTTTTATCTTAATCTTAATACAACTCACATTGCTGTTTTATGCCCCCTTTTCTTTTGCTCTTCCTCTTTTAACGTCATACCGTTTTTAGCCCTGGAGGAACACAAAAAATCAAGTAATCGCTTTGGCTCGAAGCTATAGATACTTTTTTATCGAGTAGGTATTATTTTTCCGTTGTGACCTGTTGCTTTTGTATTCACGTACAAGGTAATTTCTAGATATTACTTCATTGATTCTATTTCTCAAACCATAACTATCACACTATCGGCTTTCCTTATTATATCTTCACTAACGGTATCCTTGGTTTACCTTATATTATCATGTTACTATTATGTAAGTAGATACTTTGATTTTTGTTATAAATGTTTCAGTTTAACTCTTGTTTTAATGTTAATATTAGGTCGAGTGAACTCAGTCCAAGGACTCTTCTCTACTGTACTGTCGTTCGTTATAGTAGCTTTGTACAGTGCTACGTACAATTACACATTTGAATATTTAACCGGAGCAGTATTCCTATTAAACGTTATTTTGACGGCACCTCTTTTAGTCGTCTTACTGTAAGTTTTTTTACTATCAGGTTTCATAATTTCTTGTTAATAAATTTTTACTTTGTTCACAAAATAATTAAGTAGTTATAAGGATAAGATGCAATTAGCTGGATCTCGAATAATATGGACATTTTTGTAGTGTTGTTAAATATTATTATTATAACGTTTTTATTTTACTATTATGAAATAATATATTTTCAAATTTATATTTTTCAGAACTATGTATTACAAATGCAGACATTTATGGACATCGGATAGTCATAATATAGCTGTCAGGTGATAGTCTAACACGTCGTCATGACACTGACAGTTATATGATTTATCTGTAAATGTTTATATTATTTTACTTGTAATATAATTGTATTTATTGTTTTTTACATTATACCAAATTATACCTCTTCCCCTAATATAATTACACATGTTATAAATAAAAAAAACATTTATGAGGAACCTTTTTGTATTTTCGTAAGGGCGTAAGGGGTTTATTTATACATATATATATATATATAGCTAAAATGTATTGTACCCCCCCCCAGCCTTTTTGGTAACGGGCCCGTTAGATCTAAGGACAGTGGTCTAGTGATTGTTGTGGAGTATGGTTTACTTGTGGACCAGTTGTATTTTTGGCAAAGGTCACATGTTCTAACACACTTAACTGTTTCACGTGACATCTTTTTAAAAACATGTTCTCTTTCAATATTCTGTATACCTTATTAGCACGTACACGCCCAAAACTGTAATAAGTGCCATATTTAATCCTCAATAAATGCCTTAGGTATCATTGCCATCCGTATTTCTTACTGTCTATTCTCTTTAACCACATTATCCGAAATAATATGGTTGTCATACTTAAAAGATCTTTTACTTTTTGTTTTAATATTGAAAACTTTTCATCATTTTTTTAATATATTTCTTTCTCTACCTAATTGTTAATTTAAATAAAAAGAGTGAAATTTTCTTTTTTTTTAGTAAAACTAGGATAACTAGTAAAACTATTAGGATATTAGATTAATTAAAAATACTTCTACAGGTATTAGTATACTTATAAGGTTATAAATAAAAAAGAACATTTATGAGGAAAATTTTTGTTTTTTCGTAAGGGCGGGGTTAGCGAAACGTTTCACCAGCTCCGATTATGATATTTTTGTTATTCTATCTAAACTGTTATCATGCAAATTCCGAAACTAGGCTTGCAAATTCATGCAAATTGCATGTTTATTAATGAAACTTGAAAAATCAAAGATTTCTTCTTGCGGAATGGCGCAGTGTACGTATTAATACATACTATACAATGATGAGTATACTTTGTACAACCACCTATTTAACTACAAGTTCAACGTCTAATATCTATACATACTACATTACTGACGTACGTTTTGAGGGATTGTAGGTAGATGATATAATTATTTGAACTGTCATTTACAGAATGATTATAATACCAACAAAAATATTGAATTAAAAGTACGTCAAATGACATACCTTCAAATATAATAATTATACCAAGAGATATATACTATGTACATTGTACAGGCATTTATATAAAACCATTCCTTTTATAATCTACATATTTTTAACTTTTGAAGATTTTTCAGATATGAAGTAGATAATTTAAAATTTTCCAATAATAATAATAATTTGCATTTAAATAAATAATACTTAAAAAAAAATTACTAGTTTTTGAAGTTCATACTAATAATAGGGTCGTTCCAGTATCTAAAGGAAAAAATATTAATTAATAAAGCACATTACACCCACACAAACAAGCCGAGTACTTAATTGTAGTACAATTGGAAATTAAAAATAAACGTGGTTAATGTACATCTTATTATAATGCACTAGATTGTGTTCATATAAATGAATAATAATTATTACGTAGTTATTTAACAAAAAACTGTGTTACTTTATTTAAAAATGAATTAGACTACTAGCCCGTTATTACATGTTAGTTGTTACCAGATAAGACACAACTTATAGTTTTTAAGAGTTATTATTGTATAACTACAATTGTTAAACGTCTATTATAATAATGTAAAAAATAAATTAAAGTATTATTGTAAATGGAATAATTTGAAAAATATGCTCAAGCGGCATTACAGTAGGTAATCGGCAATACAATGAGCATTATGCACAGTACAGTACACACTGTGCAGTACCGTCCGGCAAGATAATACGCATGCGCAGAAACAAAAACTCATCGAACGCACCGGATTCCAACTGACTACTGAGTTATAATTATAAATTGTTAATTTCTGTACAACGCACTCAAAAATTTTTTTTTTCATTCTGTTCTTTTTTATTTTTTTTACTTTTCTGTTGTTTACAGTAATGTGTAAATATACAAATTTGTTTGTCTAAAATACGTTCGAGTAAATTTTTTTGATCTAGATATTTTCGGCCTAACTATTTTTCAGTTGTGATATTGTTTGAAAATGTATGGTCGAATAAATGTTTTTTTATAACCCTCTCCATCAAAATCTTTATAGTCTCATAGGATCATATGATGATACATTAAGGATAAGACATTCCCTTTCCTCTTAAAATAATCGCAATTTTGTAGTTTTTATTTGTGAAAATTAATTAGTTTGTTATTTTACGGTATAAGACAATACTTAAATTTTTATTTTTTTCTAGAGCTCTATCAAATTTAAAACCTAAATAGCAGTGCATATATTTAATAAGCTTTTAAATTAAGAATAATTTGCTGCGAATTTTGATTGGTCGAAAATCAGTTTTGGATAATTAATTTTTGAGTAATTAATGTTTAAAATTTATGACGGAAGGTAGAGATTGTTAAAGTAATGCGCGCAGATAAAAATATAATACAACGCCACCCTTCCTCTCGTTATAAATTTTAAACTTTAAGTAACTATCCATAACTAGGTAGCCATGGGTGGTGGTAGTCATGTCATAAGTGGCATGGTATCCATGTCGGTTATCGACCAATCAAAATATTCAGCAAATTATTCTTGATTTAAATACGTACGTCAACATTTAAGTTATAATTTGTTCTGATTATTTTTTTTTTTATCGTTGTTTCTGGTGATTGTAATAGGTCATGATCATTATTTATTTACTATAAAGACACTAATCACTTTAAAAACCATAAACTGTTGCTATTACAATTTCATCATTCGTAAATTGTATTTAAATTTGTGATAACGGTTATACTACTATATAAGGTACAACAACAATTTAATGATGATTATTTTTAGAAAGACTCATTATATTATAAATAACATATCACATTATAGATGACCGGTAATGCTATTATGACTATTAACTGGGAAATTGGTAAAAGTCCTCTGTTCAAATTTCAAAAAGGGGGGTTTACTACTATTAGGGTTCCAGTTATTAGGTCTAGGAAATTCACGTCTTTATATTTTTAAGTGCACAACTGTAGTTGCCTCCTCAACAATTTAATGCCAGACCACCACTGACGACAACCGGCTTTTATGCAACAACAACTGCTTACCACAGCTGATAAAAAATGAACAGCTACGCCGATCTGGACACACGCATTCCGAAAACCGGACCACATATTTTCGTCTACACAATTGCGGCTCGTCACTGATACCACGAACAATACACTTCCGCTTATTATCCGTTTTGCGGCGGCGAAAACAAGGCTACATTTAATGCACTCCGTACCCGTCTCTTTGTTACACAGATATATAATAAACTAGATTGCTAAGTGTACATGCAATACCGTAAGTGTATTGCTAAGCGTACCGTCATTAGGGATAATTGAAGTAACCATTTTCCGCTATCTTTGTGGAAATTATAACCCTATTACACGCAAATATATGCTTATAACAATAATTATAAGTTAAGTTGATAACACAGAATCACAAATATATATATTATTTTGTATACAAACGAATCCCTCAAAAATGGCGAAGATGACATTATTATCGCTAGTTAGCAATCTAGTTTATTATATATAATATCTGTGTCTGATTATCACACGACCGTAGAATAGTTATTAGTAGCAATTGCGGTAGCACCACGATCATCGGCAGTCGAACGGTATATTTTACAGAAAAGATTTTTTTTTTTTATAATAGCGTGCGAAGAAAAAACATGTTACCATTGAAAATTCGGACCTCGCCGTTGTTCGGTGACGTCTCCAATTTGTCTCTAGAATCGGTCACTATGCTGTTTTCGCTGTCCATTTCGATTTCGGCTTTTTTGCAAAACAACTTGCTCTTGAGAAAAGCCTGTAACCCAATGGAACCCTTTGGCGAATGCGTCAACAGCGAAAAGTCAGCCCAACACGTCGTTTCCATCATTCAATCGTGGAAAGCGTTGTTTCAGTACACCATTCCCATCGTTTTTATTATACTGGCAGGTACGTGTAAAGTGGTGTGTGTGTGTAGTATTTTTAATCTCTTTTAATATTTGAATCATAAAGCTATCATGTAATAATTGCCAAAAGGAATGACGATAAAAGTTATCAGAATATTTTTTAAGTCATTCATCTCAATAGCTTATAACATGATAAATTCATATAATTACAATTATTATAAATAATAATTTAAATGTACCTACCTATAAATATAGAATTTTATTTTAATTCTGATTTCTGAACAATACATTTATTGTTATTTTCTAAATAAAAAAATTACTTTTCTTCAATTTTTCTCAACATGATAGGGTAGCCTAATTTTTATAAATTTGTTTTTTTTTTTGAAGCTCTCATCCCCTTTGAAGGTCTCGGGTAGGATAGGCATAAACTCACTTTACCGGACACTCGGTTTTATGTAATTTGTATTGTTGCCATATTTTAGTGTTTTTTACGCAGATTACGAATCTGAAGTCAGAATTAGGCGGACTCCTCTAGTTTAAAGATAAAATAATTCAATTATAAAATACGCTTATTTATTAAATAAAATGAATTATTCAAAATATTTAATAATTCAAGCTATTTTTTTAATTTATTTATATCTTAACCTGATCTTTAATTTCGTTTTTGAAGCTCTCTTCCCCTTTAAAAATCGCGGGTATCTTAAATTAATTCCAACTAATTCTGTTACTAATTATTAAATAGTCCAAAAATAAAACCTGATAAACGTCGTTACATCTTCCTGAGAACAACATTTTTTTATGCAATTAGGGTGGTTTTATTTTTAAAATTGTATTGTTATATATTAATTTTATGATAAGTTATGTATGTATCACTAAAAAACGTAAGCTTTCATCAGATGAACGTAAAAGTGATTTTTTTTTAAACAAACTGTACGACGGATATTGATTTCAGATAGGTGCAGTAGTTAAATTTTATTGAAGAAATGTGGTATTTTTACAATTGGCCGTGAAATAATTAGAAATTGTGGGGGATCCTGGGCTGCAGCCCTCTCGGCCCATCCTTATATTCCCGCCAAAAAAAAAAAAAAATAGCTGTACCAATTCAGTACTGCAATAATTGTAACAATTATGAATTGTAATTTTTTTCAGGACCATGGAGTGACAGCCACGGGAAGCGAAGAAAACCATTGATATTTCTACCGATTGTCGGTCAGATCCTGACTGACGCTTTTTGTATTATGAATGCCTATTTCTGGTCATGGCCACCGCAGGTCGCCGCTGTTTTCGAAGCAGTCACCCCAGGGTTGTTTGGCTCCAAGATCTTGTTTTGGGTGGGCATGATATCCTACGTTTCCGACAACACAGACGCAGAGTTAAGAACTCTGCGGTTTGGAGTGCTCAACGCGACTTCCAGCATAAGCGCGCTAATCGGCACCGGCTTATCGGGCATCTTGAACGTCAAGTTGGGGTTCTTCGGAGCGTTCGCAGTGACCGTTGTGTTGAACTCTGTAGCTCTTGCAATCGGTTATTGGGCCTTTGAAGACACGTCGGTGCCTTACGAGAAAAATAACCATTGGTTTAAGCCGCAATATCTTTTTAAGGGCTATTTATCTATATTCAAAGGCAAAGTGAAGCATTACGCTATAACGCTGCTAGTATTACTGGTATGTCAGTCAGTGTTAGTTGGACGATTTTTAGGTGAGCAACTACGATAAACTTTAAACAGTATGAACTATGGCCTACGGGGGTGGGTTGTGTTACTTTTATTGAATTTAATTAGAAATCAAACAACTAATTACAGTTCCACTAGTAGTATAATATTTAACAATTTGGTGTGACGTCATATTCTTTTACAGTTATTTGCCATTCTACAATAATATTATATTATTTTTTTTTAGGGGAGTACGCCGTAATGTATTTGTTCGTAAGATACCAATTTGGATGGCAGGAAATGGAGTACAGTTATTTTGCAGCCTATAAAATGATGACAATAATTTTTGGTAATTCATACGTTCATTTACTCCTGAGCCTTAATGTTTATGCGAATTTTTTAACAAAACTATTTGATTTCCAGGTACGTTATTCGCTGTTTCTACGTTAAGCCACCACTTGAAAATAAACGATGTGGTTATTGGTGTTATAGCTGGTATCTTTGACATTTTTGCTGCGTTTGGCTACGTACTAATTGACCAGCCCTGGCAAATGTACATCAGTAAGTTTTGTCCGTTCCTATACATAATTGATAAATTTTTTGTGCTACATAGCTGATGTATAATTAATATGCAATATTCATAACGTGTAAAAGTATGTGTTTTACTTTTATTCGTAGTTCCGGTAATTGACTTTTTTCACGGAACCGCAATTACTATAATTATTTCGTTGACTTCCAAAATGGTGGAAAAAGAAGAATTAGGTAAGACGTCGTCTTTTATTTTAACTATTAATTGTTGTCAGATAAAGTATACTGTAACCCACTCTCTGCCCTATCACCACCTTTACAGTTTTAGGTCCCTTTTCTTTGGCTCTCCCTCTTTTAATGTCATATTGTTTTTGCACCTGGAGTAAATAGTACTACAAAAAAATCACGTGATCGATTTAGCCCGAAATTATAAATACATTATTATTTAGTAAGTATTATTTCTCTATTGGGATCTTTGGCTTTTTTAGTCACGTCTAAGCTAATTCTTAGATATTACTTCATTGGTCCTATCTGTCACACCATACATATCACACTAGCCGCTTTTTTTATTACATCCTCTCCAACGTTATCCTTTGTTTGACTTATCTTATCTTGTTACTCTATGTAAGTATATACTTATTTATTTTTATATATGTTTCAGTTTAAACCTAGTTTTAAGCGGACATTATGACTTATGTCTTCTTTTTTCTAAGGAATTAGTATAGGCAATTTTTTTTTCAAAATCTTAATTGGAAAGTTAAACTGTTGTGTGTGTAATTATTAGTTCAGTAATTAGGACTCTTTTTTTTGGTAGTTCATAATATCCTAGACACGATTTTCAAAAAAATCATCTAAACATAGCTACGCTGAATACGATTTATCGGTCCATATAAATTTTTGAGCAAAAATACCTACTATAAAATCGGAAGATACAATATTTTAAAGACAATGGTTTATCTAATTTTGAAAATTATAACGTAAAACAAAGTTATAATTATTTAAAAAAAGTTAAAAAGTATTATTTTAAAAGTAAAATATTAAGTTCATAATAAAAAGGATATGAAAGGTATCCAAAATCTTGTCATATTTCAATTTGTTTTAAATATTTTTAAGTATTTTTATAAGTTCGCTAGAAAATTGGGTGTATAACTTCTTTTTATGTTAATATTAGGTCGAATGAACTCAGCCCAAGGTCTATTCAACACTGTACTGTCGTTGGTTATAGTAGCTTTTTACAATGCTACGTACCATTTCACATTTGAATATTTAACCGGAGCAGTATTCCTATTGAGCATTATTTTGACGGCGCCTATTTTAGTCGTCTTACTGTAAGTTTTTTTACTATCAGGTTTCATAATTTCTTGTTTATAAATTATTACTTTGTTCATAAAATAATTAAGTAGTTATAAGGATAAGATGCAATTAGCTGGATCTCGAACAGTATGGACATTTTTTGGCACTTTATATTAGCCAAACGTTCAATTACTTTGTTCACAAAATAATTAGACAATTATTATAACTATATAATATAGGTAAGACGTAATTGTAAAGGTAAGTGGGGATTGCTATGATGGTCGCCAACCAATCGAATAGGCAATTGAAGTAGAAGAAAGGTAAGATGCAATGGCTGTCTTGAAAAATATGTTTTGAAAAATATTTTTTGTAGTGTTGTTAAATATTATTATTTTACTATTATGAAATAATATGTTTTCAAATTTATATTTTTCAGAATTATGTATTACAAATGCAGACATTTATGGGCATCTGATAGTTATAATATAGCTGTCAGGTGATCTGTTAAGTCCTACACGACGTCATGACAGTTTTTTGATATACTTGTCAAATTGTATATTATTGTATACACATTTTGTTGCAAAATGAACGTCAAATATTATTTGGATGATTTTCGGATACATCCACGTCAATAGTTACAGGCCGACGTTTCGGACTCATTGTAGTGTCCATCTTCAGGTTTTCGACTGTCTCGACCATAAGTATGGTCACGGCAGCTGAACAGTCGAGACCATTATCGCCCTAAAGATGGACACTGCAATGAGTCCGAAACGTCGGTCTATAACTATTGACGTGGATGTATCCGAAAATCATCCAAATAATGTATCAGTCCACGAAAGCATTAACGCATTCATAATGTCAAATATTGTTAATAACGTATATGAACTATTAAATTATTATAATGTAAAAATATATAGTTTGTATTTTAGCGTGGAACATACTTTAGCTTCAGTAGCCACCAGACTAAAGCATGTTCCATGGTTCGTAATTTTAGCCGTTAGGCTTTAAGTAGACTGTAACATTTTAATTTTGTACTCAATTTATTACACTGTTTGTCAAATGTTCTCTTTTTACTAGGAACAAATGCTAAAATATCAGCATTATATCGAAGAATTTGTATCTTTAAATTGTATTAAATTGTGTTTTTTACAACTTTAATTTAAAAAAAAAAAAACCACTAGATGTACTGAGAAAACCTAAAACTCAGATAATGCAAAGAAAGTATGAAACTTTGGTATTGTTAAAAAAAATAAAGGTTGAATGTCGTAGTACTATGTTTTGTAGGTGTTATAGTATTTTATAACGTTAAAAATAAAATGCTTTATATTTTAGTCGGTAACAAATTATACGTCACTTAGTCAATTGGTATTATAATTAGGTAGACTAAATGTATCTTACTTCTTATATTTATCAGCACTGTTTTATAAAAAAAACTCTAGAGGAGATGAAGTGGGAATTGTCAGCTAATTTTGACTCTTTCTTTCTCCCCTGCGTGCGCCGCTTATTATGGAGATTATTGTTTCTAGCTTTTGAATGTCAGTTGTCGTAGCACCATGATCGTTTGCAGTCGTACGGTGGACGGTGTGCCGAAAACATGATTTATATATGTTTTATAGAAAAGAAAGTTTGATTTTTAGAAATTCGTTGAATTTGTTTACAACACTTACAAAAAAAAAAAACCTGTTAATATCGAAAATTCGGACCCCGCCGATGTTTGGCGACGTTTCCAAGTTTTCTCTGGAATCGGTCACTCTGCTGTATTCGCTGTCCATGTCGGTTTCGGCATTTTTGCAAAACAACTTGCTCTTAAGAAAAGCCTGTAACCCTATGGAACCTTTTGGTGAATGCGTTAACAGCGAAACGACAGCCCAACACGTCGTTTCCATCATTCATTCGTGGAAAACGTTAATTCAGTACACCATTCCCGTCGTTTTTATAATATTGGCAGGTACGTGGAAAGTGGTGTGTGTGTGTAGTATTTTTAATCTCTTTTTAATATTTGAATCATCAAGCTATCATATAATATAGTAAAGATATAAACTCTACTTGAACCTCAAGAGTCTGTTGTTAGCGCTGAAGGTGACAACATCGTTGTCGTAACACGTGTACGCAAGAAGTGTATAATTTTTATGGTTTAGGGTTCAAGTAGATTTTATATCTTTACTACATATTTAACCATAAGTTTGCTTAACAGTTTTTTCTAGACTATCATACAATAAATGCCAAAAGGAATGGCGATAAAAGTTATCAGACAATTTTCAGTTTATTCATTGCTATAGCTTATAATAAAATAAATTACTAATATTACTATTATTATAGAATTTTATTTTTATTCTGATTTCTGAACAACAATTACAATTTTATTGTTAATTTCACAACAAGAAAATTAATTATCTTCAATTTTAGTAGCTTATTTTTAATTAGAAAAAGTATGTCCAACTCTGGATAGAGTACAATTGGCAAACATCATATTTTCCCTTCAAAAACTGAGAAATGGGATGTGTGCAGTGTGTGTATACAAAAGTTGTGTACATCTTATAATACAATTTTTATGTAACTTAACTTCCACCACTTATATTATAAATTACAAATAGTCAATATATTGCTTAGTGTAACCATTTTTTATCCAACTTGTTTAGCCAAGGGTGGAGTTATTATTTTAACTGCCTTGGTTCTTTAGTAAATTATTGTTAGACCACCAATACTTATCCGACTGATGTAAAATAAAGTATTAACATCATACAATCGTACAACCCCTCCGCTTTAAAATATGCCAATCCACTCTCATACTAAAATAGGTTATAAAAAATATGTAATATAGACATAAGAAATCTTAAAAGGCTTATTTTTAATAATATCAGTTTTTTAACATAAAACCACTCAATGCATACCAATAGTCCTTATTATAACTGTAATAAACAAAGATAAGATAATTAATTGTTCAGTCTCAAAATGTTTAATTTGTTTTTGATTACACTATAAGTTGTTGCATATTATCGACTTACAGTATAGTGTAAAGTATATACATTACAAATAATCGTTATTGGCAAATTTACAAAACAACACTTTGATTTACTACAAATAATATATACTAATACTTGTCTTTTAAGCATTACATATTTTTAAAAATGGGAAACTATTTACATTGAATATATTTTCAACTATTTCATGAAACATATAAATTAATAACTTACTGATAAATAAAATAATATATTATAAGTATTCTTTGTGACTTATTATTTTGTTAATAATTAGTTAACAGCTATGATTTATATTGTCAGTATAAATTAGGGGTGTCGAAATATGTGTGTACATTTCTTCATTTGTTTTATAATTTATCACGAATTTAATTAAATAATCAAATAATAAAATACGCTTATTTATTAACAAAAAATGAATTATATTATTCAAAATAATTTAAAATTCATGCTACTTTTCAGTTCAATAACATTTTAACTAAACCTTTAATTTATTTTTTAAAGCTCTCATCCCCTTTAAAAATCGTGGGTATCTTAAAATTAAATGAATTACAACTAAAATATAATGTGATGAACGTCATTGGATCTTCTCGGGAACAACATTTTTTTTTGTGTAATTAGGAGAGTTTAATTTAGAAAATGTCATTGTTCTATTTTAATATGTTATGTTTATTTATGTAAATATTATTAAAAAATGTATTTTCATAACAGAAACGTAAGATAATTTTTTTTTAAATTGTAGGTCACGTGTTTATTTCAGTTAAGGGATTATCTCAGTCTACCCTTAGATTCCTGTCAAAGCAAAAACATATATGTCCGATATCGTATAGTCAATTTGGTATTGTCATAACTGTAGCAATTGTGTTTTGTGAACTTTTTCAGGGCCATGGAGTGATAGCCACGGCAAGCGAAGAAAACCGTTGATATGTCTACCGATCGTCGGTCAGATCCTGACTGACGCTTTTTGTATTATGAATGCCTATTTCTGGTCATGGCCTCCGCAAGTCGCCGCAGTGTTCGAAGCAGTCACACCAGGGTTGTTCGGCTCCAGTTGCATGTTTTGGGTTGGGTTGATATCCTACATATCTGACAACACAGCCGTGGAATTGAGAACCGTGCGGTTTGGAATGCTCAACGCGACATACTACATAAGCTCGCTGATCGGCACGGGCATATCTGGCATCTTAAACGTCAAGTTGGGGTTCTTCGGAGCGTTCGCAGTGTCCATTGTGTTGAACTCTGTAGCTCTAGCCATCGGTTATTTTGCCGTCAAAGACACGTCGGTACCATACGAGGAAAATAAACTTTGGCATAAGCCGCGATATCTCTTTCAGGGCTATTTATCTATGTTCAAGGGCAAAGTGAAGCATTACCCTATAACGCTGCTATTATTACTGGTATGCCAGTCAGTGTTAGTTGGACGGTTATCGGGTGAGCTACTACGGTGAACAGTATGGCCTTTGGGCGTTGTGTTAGTTTTATTGAATTTAATCAGAAATCAAACGATTAATTAAATTTAGTATAGTATTAAACAATTTGTCGTGACGCCATATTCTTTTTTAGTTATTTGTCACTCTACACTAATTTTATATTATTTTTGTTCAGGGGAGTACGCCGTAATGTATTGGTTTGTACGTTACCAATTTGGATGGCTGGAAGTGGAATACAGCTATTTTGCAGCCTATAAAATGATAACCATGCTTTCTGGTAATTTACACATACATATTATCCTGAGCCTTACTTTTTACGAGAATAATTGTAATTGTTCTTATTCAACAAAACAATATGATTTTCAGGTACGTTATTTGCTGTGTATGTGTTAAGCCACCATTTGAAAATAAACGATATAGTTATTGGTATTATAGCTGGTACCTTTGACATTTTTGCTGCGTTTGGCTACGTACTGGTTAATCAACCCTGGCAAATGTGTATCAGTAAGTTTTGTCTGTTCCTATACATAGTTAATAAGTTATTTTTGCTACATAGCTGATGTATAATTAATATACAATAATCATAACGTGTAAAAATATGTGTTTTATTTGTATTCGTAGTCCCGTTAATTGACTTGTACCATGGAACTGCACTAACTATTACTACTTCGTTGACTTCAAAAATGGTGGAAAAAGAAGAATTAGGTGAGACGACGGTCTTTATATCAATTCAACTCGCCATCATTAATTATTTTTAATCCATTAATTCTTCACCAGCCACCGTTAACCCTATCACCACCATTACTGTTTTCTGCAATTCTGCTGAATTTATTGGCATCCCCTCTTTTAAGGTCATATTGTTTTGGACCTAAAACAAAAATTCGGGCGATCGATTTTGTCCGAAACTATAGATATTTCTTTGGTCCTATTCGTCAAACCATACATATCAGTTATCTCACTATAAATTTTCTTTATTAAGATCCTCGCTAAGTTTATCCTTTGTTTACCTTGTATTACCATGTTAATATATGTAAGTAGATAATTGAATATATAATGTTTCAGTGTAAACTTAGTTTTAACAGAACATTAAATCCCCTCTTTTCAAGGAGTTAGGTAAAATAATTTTTTTTTAAATCTTAATTTAAAAGTTAAACTTTTATGTGCAATTATTAGTTCAGTAATTAGGACTCTTTTTTTTTGGTATTTAATTTTCATGACAGCATCCCTGACAACGATAGAAATTAAGTGTATAATGTCCTCTTGATGTTAATATTAGGTCGAATGAACTCAGCCCAAGGCCTTATCAACACCGTACTGTCGTTCGTTATAGTAGCTTTGTACAGTGCTACGTACAATTTTACTTTCGAATATTTAACCGGAGCAGTATTCCTATTAAACGTTATTTTGACGGCGCCTATTTTAGTCGTCTTACTGTAAGTTATTTTATTATCAGGTTTTATAATTTTCATGTACACTGTATATTTTTGCGCTTTATATTAGCCAAACGTTCTATTACTTCGTTCACAAAATAACTGGAGAGTTATATAGGTAAGATGTAATTGTAAAGGTAAAATGGGATTGTTATGATGGTCGCCAACCAATCGAATAGGCATTTGAAGAAGAAAGGTTAGATGCAATGGCTAAATCTCGAAAAATAAGTCATTTTCGTAGTGTTGTTAAATATTATTATTTTACTATTATGAAATAATATATTTTAAAATTTTTATTTTTCAGAACTGTGTACTACAAATGCAGACATTTATGGGCATCTGATAGTTATAATATAGCTGTCAGGTGATCTGTTAGGTCCTACACGACGTCATGACCATTGTTTAATTTACTTGTAAAATTTTATATTATTTTACTTCTAATAAAACTGTTTTATATGCTGTGCGTTATTTAATGTAGTCAGTGAGCTTAAATGGGAACTCTATTCCTCTTTTTGTTTAAATATTTTTAAGTATTGATATATGGTGAGTGTAACAAACGATAAGATGAATTGCGCTTATTTTAGGCAGTATAAAGTTATAAGACTCATACCTATACTACATAATTTTCTTTAAAATAAAAAAAGTAATTTTAGCAGTAGTAAAGTTTTTAAAAATAATTAATAGTTTAGATTAACTTAGGTAAAGTTTTACTTATCTAAATTTGTAAAGACTAAAAAGACATTAGGGAGGCGTATGCTTAAAAAACTACTTATTTAAAAATAATGACCACAGTAACAAACTATTTGGAAAATTTTGTTCATACATTATTTGGTGCACACAATTGGGTAACTCGATAATATTATCAATAATAGGTACCATAAATAGTTAGGTAACTTACAAAATATATTAAATATCTCAAAACAAATATACAATATATTTTAACTATTTTTATAAAATAAATCTGTACAGTTTTATATCACAATTTGAAATATCACTGTAACCATAAAAAGTGATATTTCTTTATACATACATACATACATACATAACAATTAACAATATTAAACATTCTTGTTGTTTTTTTAAATTTAGCAACATGACATAGTAAAATAATAACATTGTCAAGCGGTGTTCATAGTAGCTTTATAATGTTCATCTTTAATTATATTGTTACAAGCGTCCATGTTCTCGTCCTTTTTCTGATTTTCAACTTCATTGTTATTATTTTTGAATATAGAACCTTGCATGTCAGCTTTGTACGTTAACCTGCAATTATGTATGACAATTAAATAATTATTTTCATTTTCTTAAGTAAAACATAATGTAACTTTGTAGGACGGAGTGGCCGAGTGGACTAAGGCGGCGATTTCAATGCGCGCACCGTCGCCAGTTCGAACCATCCCCCTATCAAAAACTTGGCAGAAAACAACAGGTGAACACAGCTTATTCTGCCAAGTAGGCGCCCGAACTAGGCCTTCAGACCTACTACCGGATATTAATACCATATGCAAAAAAAAAAACAATTTTTATTTTGTCCTTACTTAGAAGTTGAAAATATTATAATATTATCAAGAAAGTAAAAAAGATATTCAAATCAACAATCGATGACGATATTTCATAGGTCCTCAATTGTTTATTAACACAATTTTCAAAGTATAGTTTAACCAACTTATGTATTTTTGCATATTTTTGTGATACTTACTTACATTCTCAGTTTATCAGTAAAAAAAAGTAAGCTCGATAGGTAATTTATGATTATATGCAAAACCTGGTATGTTATCAAAATGCTATTTTCGAAAACGTTTTGCATTAAAAAAAATAAAAATTATGAAAATGTAGTTTTGCTAAAATTGTTAATTGAAAGTATGGTATTTATTTTCCGCCTTTATGTGTGAAACGATCAAACAAATATTAACAACGTTTTTTATAACACTAAAATTTCAACAAAAATTATTTTATTATTTTAATTTTCGTAAAAACCTTTTTCTTATTACGTTGTAAATATTTAAATGCTTTTACCCATACAATGCACTTGACATAATCTACAGTTAAAACTTTACCCGAATAGTATAACAACAGGAACGGTAATCGCAGCAGTTATTAGGAAAAATGCGCCCGGTAGTGTTTCAAAAGTCAACTTGTATACTTGATTGTACAATGGGTATACTATTATAGGCGCTAAGGTTTCCAACATTCCACGCACAGAATTCAGTTGAGCTAAAATATAAGACAGGCATGTGTCGTTTAAGGATTTGAATGATTGAAAACAAAATATGGTTCTTCTTTAAGACATACCCAGTTCTGTGTTGTCGACAAGTTTTGAAGCCATCGACGAGCTGACGGTAAACGCTGCGCCGTGAAAAACGTCTATGAGTGGAACTGAAAACAACAATATTGTCATGAGATTCATTTTTTTTATCATGTTTATTAGTGGAAAAGAAAAAATTGTCACTTTGAAATAATATACGTATGCTTATACCTATTGCACGCGGTATTGCATGCGTTTAATAAGTTGTTAAAGGAGCATACAACACAACAAAAAAATTTTTTTTTTTTAATTATTATTTAATGTTAAATTATTGTAGTTAGAACTATTGAAAACGATTTGGTCAAAATCCGATGCAAAAAAAATTATTATTTAAGGAAATATTAGGATATTTAGAATAGCCGCGTGACGTCATTGGGCCGAGCTCGCCATAATTGCCTATCTTACACGTTTAAAGTAGCTCGCTTTACACAATGATTTACTAACCTATACATTTTATTTTTGATATTTCATTTACGCATAGAGCTCGTATTGATGATTGAGCATTATTTACATATTGAGCTCGGCCCAATGACGTCTTTTTTCAATGTTCCATAACTCATTGAATATTGTGAGTAGGAACGTCAAACCTATATCATTTTTCTTAGAATTAAACGTTCTTTTAAATTAAAAAACTTATTTTTCGTGTTTTGTGCTCCTTTAAACGTATTGGTATTATCGCGATTTTACTACTCAAGTTAAATTAAATACAAGTGTACAGACTTATTTTTATTAGAGCCTAATCTAAATTTTTAAATATATTTTATTTTTATCAGTTAATAGTGTAAGTACTACACTTCTGATCGTAACTGCTATATTATATAATATGCAGAGTGGGTTATTTGTGTACATCATTAAATTTATTATAATTTATCAGTGTTTAACTGCTCGTAGGAACATTTATATGATGATTCCAAGGGTAGCATTACAATTGAGGTTTGTCACCCGTTTTCTCATAATCAGATTGTTGTGTATAAAAATAAACTAATTTTATCATTTTTTTTCTTACCTGCATAAAGCTGCCAGGGTTTAGTGACAAAGCTGTAACATATAGCGGCAACCAAGTCAAAACTGCTTCCAATAAATCCAATAGCAGCATCATGCATTTTTAGTTTTACACTCATTAACCATATTGCTATAACAGTTCCTGTAACATCGATAGTTCTTATTTTCTAATTTAGAATTCAGATATGATATTCCATAGACCATAATACAGTAGATAATATTTTACAATTTGTCACATAAGTATAAGTATACTTCCTTAAATGAATGTCCCAATGGAACACTTTTAGAATCTATAAAAGCTTTATTAAAAAGCGTTTCACCTTAAATTCAATATAGGTTTTATATTTTAACATATTTTGTGTGTTATTCTGATCGTTTTGTTTTTTGGATACTTTTTTTGAAAATATTTAGAAAAACTGAACTTATCATTTGACACAATTTCTCTGTATTGTTCATTTGTGTTATGTATACATAGTAAACGTCTGTCGAAAAATAATTATTGCCAATTACCTATTAAAATCCCAGTCATTTTGTATGCAGCATAAAGGCTGTAATCGATTTCGTTCCATCCGAACTTATATCTCACAAAGAGATACAGTATTGAGTATTCACCTAAAAAAATACATGGTTAAATTATTATACAACACTAAGACTCGGGTAGTTCTTCTAAAATATGATAAGTAGCTATAAAAAAAATATAAATGTCATATTGCGAATAACTACTAAAGTATTTTACTCAAACCTTGTTAATCATCGCAGTCAACATTTTTAATAAATTATTATTTATTAAAATGTTAAGCAACTATAAATTTATTCTACTATTCCTTCGGTAGGCGATCGTAACCAGTCAAATCCAATTTGAGTAGTTGTAAATTTCAACTGTTTGTTTTTTAACTCAAAATACTTAAAGTTAAATTTATACTAAAACTAGATTTAACTGCTTATGAACGCTTATGAGCTAATTTCTATGAAGGAGTTTCTTAGGAGGAAATAGAATATAACAATTAATATATCTCCACTAATACAATTTTTCACGAGTTGCGTATAATATATCAATTTAGTAGTTTTTATTATAATTTTTAAATTTTCACAATAGTATTTATAATATTTATAATGTTTTATTTTTTTCTTATGAGTTGAGGTGGAGCGAACAATAAAGCGGTAACAGTAATTTTGTTTTTCAATTATTACATAATTAGTACATTATCATCGGTGATGTGCAATATTAGTGTTGAATAATAAAAATTTCGCAAGTCATAGATATTAGGAAATAAATACGTTGAAAAATATTATTGATAATCAGTAAAATATTTAATAATATATACTACAATGCAAGTGGTATTAGGTATTTATGAATGTTTATTGTTGAGCCGTAATCAAATGGTCATAAATTAGTACCATAGTGTATTAATTAACCATATTGTTGATTTTGTGTGTTCTAACATTGTGTGAATATGATAATATTACAGAAATAATTAAAATTAATTGTTTTTCTCAAACAAAAAATAGTATTTAGCCTATAAGCCTTAATGAGTTAAAACCTACGAAATTAACACAATGCAACGATAATCGTTTTAATATTTAGACATTTATTTTTGGATTATACTTTTATTAATAATAACCTACCCTATTCAAACGCTTTCAAAACTATGAAAATATCTCCATCTTTCCTCTAAGAAAGATGGAAGGTTTTTTCTTTAATATTTCTCAATGGCAGCAATTTTATAACTTCAAGTCTAAGATGTAAAATTTAGACTGTAATTATATGTAATGTGTATCTAGCGTATGTATAAAAAAAAAAAAATTAGAACTCTTTTCTTAGCAGTTATAAAATACTTCAAACATAATTTTAATATAAAAATTGATTTTATTAATAAAAAATCTAAATGTTTTAAAACATTTTTTCAAAAGTAATTTTAGTACTTTCAGTCAATAAAATTATTATAAACATTGACACACACATACATATTTATTATATATTATATTATTTTGTATGGTTAGTAATGATATAATATAATAATATAGTAACATAAATAACAAAAATTGTCAAAACATTGTACATTTATACAATATATTATTATGTTATCTATAAACATAAACTATATTGTAGAATATCTCATGTTTCGACAATTTTTGTTATTTATAGTAATACATTACTAACCATAAAAAATAATATTATAAATATATTTTTTAAACGTTGTTCTTTAGTATTTAAAAGGTATTAATAAAAAAAATTACCATCACCACGAGAATACGTTGAAAATACAATTGGCATTTTGTTTTCTTGTAAAATTGTGTTAAAATCACTTGTAATCCTATCGAGTTTCATAATTTTAATTATGCGAATAACATTACCTTGCATGGGTCCAACGGTGAGAGGCGACACGATTGTCATGTATATCAACAGTGATCGTCTAGGTCTTTTTTTTATTAGTATTTTCATCGAGTCCGTGACGACTTTTGGATTGATCGTTTGCCAGATGGACGCTTTTTCGTAGGGGACGGATGTGTCTTTGATCATAAGCACTCCTAACGCTAGCGATATGCAGTTTAGCATTATACACGCCAGGAACGTGCCGTAAAATCCGATATTGAGATTCAAAAAGCCAGCGGCACAAGCGCCAATAGGGGTGGCGATGAAGTACAACGACATGAGTATGCCGATTCGCTTGGTGCGGTCTTCCACTTTGGTGTTGTCGGCAACGTACGAGGCTACCCCGACCACACAACAGATCCTGGATCCCGTCAGGGCAGGTATTAAACACTCGAAAATTGCAGCCACTGCCGGCGGCCAATACCAATAGTAAACGTTGAGCACGTTGAACATGTCGGTCAACAGTTGCCCGGCTATGGGTATGAACATCAATGGTCTCCTTCGCCGGCCGTGCGTGTCGCTCCAAGGACCGGCAAACAGTATGAAGATCAATGGCACGGCATACTGTATGGTGAGTTTCCACGTTTGAATTTTGGTCACCAACGCTTGAGCGTAGGCTTCGTTGAGACATTTCTCTCTCAGATCGGCTGGCTGGACAGTAGCCGTTTCGTCACAGCCTTTTCTCAATATCAAATTCGTTCCCACCTGTGGAAAACGTAAACATAAACCGAATTATACAATTTATTATTTGATTTATAGGTTTGAAAGAGTGGAATGTTCTAAATACAAGTGGGTTATGAACGTTACCGACTGCGTCAATAGTGTGGAATATAATTAAGATTAGTTGCGGCTAATAGACGATAATATTTAAAACCAATGTCTCCGTACATATAAAAAGTCAAGAATTTTATGGATGTAGACTAAAATAACTCTATACAATGTTCTAATGAGACTAGTAGCTTTATACACATGTGGTACATGGGCGAAGGCAAAGTATGTAAATTGGAAACAATTAGCAACATTCGAATTAAAAGATCACAGAATTCATAAAGCAAAAAACTAAAAAGAGTACGAGATAAGAACAAACCGGTAAATAGAATGACGGAGTAGTAACACTAGGATAGACTAAACTAGGTTGGACATTGGAAGTCATTGGACTGGCTAAAATATGGAGGCCGGGTATAAAATGGCTAGACGGAGACAACGATGGATTAATAGGATCGCCAAGGACTTAAAATCTTTAGGTGTGGAAAATAGAGAGGAACTAGCAAAGGATAGAGATAGGAAGAAGCAGTTGGTTGTTGTAGAGATGAGCCTAAATTTCTTGTAAAAATACCCAAGAATAACCAAGATATTGAACTATATTGAGCTGGGGCAATTAATTGAGAAATACAATAAGAAAACGAGTAATACGAGTAAAGTTTTCATTCTTCTTATTATTATTATCAATGATGAGTGGTGAAAGAAAAATGAAATAGTTAAGTTAAAAATGTAAATGGGTGTGTAGGATGACTAGGGTTGGTAGATTTATTATGAAATAGGGTATAGGAGAGATAATTTAAGAGTTTGGTTGTTAAGTAGGAAAAATAGAGGATAAAAGGGAGGACAATTAATAGTAAAATAGATAAGTGTGATTTTGGCTAACATACCTTATTTGTACAGGATTAAATGAAAAATAGATTATTATTTAGATTACTAAAGATTTCTAAAACTTGACTCTTGTAGAATGTTATCAGTGTTTAATAATAATAATAATATATATTTAACGCATAATATATATAAATAAATAATAAATAAATAATATACATAATATATATATAAAAATTACGAAAGCAAAAAAAAAATATAAGTCCAATAATAATAATATAATACCAAAGCAAGTACTGTAAACTAGGCCACCGGGCAAAAACTGGGTTACAAACCGTACAGTGTATAAGTACGGAAGTACACTGATAATATTCAAGGTTAATAATAAAAAAATGATATCCGTTTATTTTTATTACTACATTGATAACTAATGAGGGTTATTTACTATTTTATATAAGAAAACAAACCTTAGTTAATTTCATAATAGGTAATAACATTAAAAAAATTAACAATTAATTAGGTATTTCTTGTATGTTTTGGTTGACCGAATAATAATTTGGGCGTCCCTAGGTAATTTTGTTGCATAACCTTTTCAATCGGGAAATTAGGCAATCAGTAAACTAGAAATAACTTAAATATACATTGACCGCACTTATCATCATAATCTGACGCCACCAAAATAAACTGGCCTAGTTATTCCTAATAAAACTGACCATAGGCCTTGGCCAAAGAACTCGGATTTTAATCAATGCTTTGTGGCTATTTAAAATATATTTAACTTAGAATTACACCGAAATTATTTAACGTAGTCTCTTAGGAATAATTGAAATCGTGCTTATGAAGTAAAAATTAAATAATCATGTTGAACTTCTTAAAAATCATACCAATTCTGCGAAACACGCCCGTGTTCTTATTACAGTATGTTACAAAACTACTAGATTTGCATATTAGGTAAATAGTTGGGCATAATTAATTTTATTTTAGTGCGTAGTCCGTGTAGAATACAGTAGTTTTTATTTTCGTTTAAACTGTAAAACAGTCATTATAGTAAAATACCTTATTAGTGTACAAGCGAATTAATGCGAAGCTGAAAAGGTATTAATTCTGACAATGGTGCTTGTTTTGGCTGATGCATATTCGCAAATGAATGTAGGCAGCATCATACAAAATATTGAGTTACAATTTCATACTACTACTAAATATGCTCATATAATAAGTCAAACAACAAGTTTAGTTCGAATTTTGGAAACAAACGGTAGTAACTATTCAAAATAGCAGGAGCAAACCCTACCAATTAGTTTTTAGGCCCATGACTTTTTTTATTAATTATACATGAAATTATTTTGCCATCTTAACAAATGTTTGAACATGTGGGATTCTATTAAAAATGTAAATAAATTATCCAACTTTATATTTAGGACTCTAAAAGTATTTATTGTTTCGTCAATTTTGAATCTTTTCTGTCACTTGCAATCCCTAAAACTATTATACAATATACATATTATTATTATTATTTAATATATTATTAACACACGTTTGGGATGCCTAAAGTTAATATTGATAGTGGGATATAAAGTTAATATTTATATTATTAAATTTTGCTAACTCTTAAGTATAAGCTCATAATAATACAAATAGGTAATACAAATAATAACCGTAAACAATTTTTTTAATTGTTTTTTTGCTTAAAATATTGTACCTTACAATTTAAACATATTTTGTTGTATACCATATGAGTCGTTAATAATGTTGACGAGTAATATTAAAGTAATATCATATTAAATTTATGGAGTTAGGTTGACTGCACGTGGGCTTATCTTAGACAAATATTCCAGCTAGTTGCGCCTATCTCAAAAGCGGCATCTAAGGAGTGAGTCATTTACGTTTAGTATCGTGACATTTTTCAAAAGGCCTATTAAAAAATAAACACCGGTTCGATGACATATATATAATATATACAAGTAACAAGTTATGATTAGATAATATTTCATTTAGATAATTATTCCATAATGTAATAACAAATTGTTGTTTGTTGTCGTTTGACTACAAATAATTCATAATATATAATATAAATTAGGGCAATAATACTTCTTTTAAAACTAGTTTTAAAAGCTTACCAATAGCTTTAAAAAAATATGAAAAATCACATGGGCCGAACGCAGTACAAACGAAGAGATACTTGATAGGATAAAGGAAATCATGGCAATGTATCCAATTTAGAAGAGAAAAGATAATAGAACATACATTAAGACATAAAAGTTTACGAAAAACAATAATTGAGAAAGATATTGAAGGATACAATGGAAGAAGAAGTCCAGTATATGCCTCAAATTATAAAAAGGCATAAAGAAGAAAAATAAAATACGGACCTAAAAGAATTAAGCTACAGATAACAGAAGGGAGGCATGAGGAGTTGCAACAAACAAATCTTAGGGATTAGTGACGAAAACAAGGTTAGCTTAACTTTTAAAAGTTAATTCTAATATATCTGTCATAAAAATTGCCGATCTTTATCGCAGAATTAGTAAGTTTTTTACTAACAGTACACATTATAGTTAATATAGCGATAATATCCTTAAGTAAATAGTTTAAAATTATATTTATGGTTTGAAATCAAATACTAATGTCGTAAAATATATTTGCCTATAAGATTATGAACCACTTCAAATATTTATCAAACATTGTTGTGTCAAACCTATTTGAGTTATTGTAAACATTTGTTTTCGTATACATTTTGAAAACATTAATATGTACAGGATATAGAAAATAAAAGTAATAATAATTTGATTAGACGTTTCTAAATTATTGTGAAGTCTTATACAAGTATATTATTTGTTTAAATATCTCAAAGTTTGTGCTATTAATTTTCGAACAACTTAACAGTAGGGTTTTTTTTCAATGTAAATATTATTCTGGTACTCACCAAAGCCGATATAGCCAACGTTATGAAGTATAGGAATAACATTGGTTCCACGGTGACTCTTTCGACCCATTTTGGTCGTATCAAATTCATGTTGTTCGTTTAAACCAAACCGAGTTCGTTTTTTTTTTTTATTAACGGCAAATCAGACGCACTTTTGCATACGTTCAAAAAGAATTCGACACCGTCATTGTCGGTACGATTTTGATTTCATTCAAATGGTATCCTCGGAGCGTGTACATGTGTTATTACAGAGCGAAGCACACACTAACCTATCGCTGGCCGTATGATGCATCCGTACGTAACACATAGTATAGATAATGATTGAGTAACATACCAGTCTGAGGTCGAGTTCACTGTTTTCAACTTTCTCCTTCGACCACTGTTTCGCGACTATCCTTCCACCGTCGAATTTGTAATACTATTACAATTATTATTATTATTATTATTATATAAGCTGGCAGTCTAAAAGTATAAGTGTTAGTGGTGAATAACACGTAAAATGTAAAAAAAAAAATACATTACCGTGCATCGAACTACGCCGGAATATATCATATGGTTTTTTTTTATTTTAGAACATAAAACAGTTAACCCCAATACGACAAAAAAATGTTTTTTTTTTATAAGATTAAATAATATTTTAAAAACCAATTTAAAAATTTTTATTTATTTATTAATATTTTTAATGTTTTTTGTGTATATGAGCTTGAAGTGGTGAGAACCAAAAGGGATTTTTACACAATTTCACACTAAATTATATTTTCAACGATGTTCACTATCTTTTTAATATCTCTTTCAAAAACTAATGACAAATTGTACAACAAACAGAGAAAAAATGTTTATTAACAAATATTTTATGATAATAGGCTTGGTTTACAAAAAATTGTCGCTATTGTAATCTTTTGGGTTTAATCACTTCATATAGGTACATATATATTGTTTTTAAATCTTCTTTTTATATAATAACCACCAATCACTATCGAACGTTGCCAATAACATGAAAATATCTTCATATAATTCCTCTAAAATTGGGGAAAGGTTTTTACTTTTGGGTATAGCACATTGGCGTCAGTGGAGTCGGTTTATCATTTAAATATTTATCATTTAATTATTTATCATTTAATTATTTATCATTTAATTATTTATCATTTAAATATGACGTGAAAACATTTTTCAAGTATAATTATATATAAGTGAAAATTGTTGTGTTGATGTTACCAGACACGTTAAATTAAGTATCTAAACGTAATGAGTATACAAATTATTTTTAATTTCTTAATTGTTTCTACTTCAAAAAACATCAACTTAGCTGAATACTCAATAGTGTAGTTCTTAATACATCAGTTAAAATACAATATACTTATAACTTTATATTTAAACTATTTAATAACTATTTCTGTGCTATAATAACTAATACCTAATAACTTCGACTTAGTTATACACAATATTTTAATGGCTTAGACGAAATGGCTAATACAGAATATAGTAGATTACTGATTATAGTACGTGCAGATGAAAATAATTATTTAGGCGTATTCACACTCAAGCAACTCTTAAAAGCCATGACATAATATTTTGCCATATTTTCCTACGAAATAAGTTTCATTTTGATGAACTTATAAAAACAACGTTTAAAACTACTCTTTACAGTAAATATAATTAACATTACAACCAAAAAATTAATTTAAATAAATACTTTACAATAAAATTATTTTAAAAAAATTTGTTTTGTTTTATATAAATTCAAATTTTGTAATTATTTAAAAACTAAATCAAATCAAAAGTTGATATATTTAACTTTTTTTTTTTTTTGCAGTTCTTTTATATTTCAAAGGACTAAAAAATTGTCATGTAATATGTAGACTTTTCTTTACTGGTTATTGTTGTGTTCTCAGGGAATTGGTTTGTAGTACCTTGATCATATCATTCTATTAAACAAATATCTGAAGAGACCGCTACCAACTCCACCTCCAAAGATACCTCCTCCACCACCGAAACCACTACCACCATCATAGTAACTGCTACCACCATCACCGGTTGTACTACCATCACAGCCACACCCGCTTGTTACAGATACAAAACATGCCTATATATTAAAATCATTAATAAAAATAAATTAAATATAAAAAAACAATATGCATAAAAAATTAAATACATATTTATAACTTTCAAAGACCAGAAAAATGTAATATACGTCAAATACATTTGTTCTTTGATAACAATAAGAAATGCAACGGGAAACTACTTAAAGTTGGAAAATTACTTAAATGGTGGATTATTTTGATTTTCATGCTTGCGTATACATAAATTTATGATTAAATTCTTTACGTACTTCAAGAAATATCTTATTCAATTTTAGATAATAATCGAAAATTATATTTTGGAAAGTAAATATTTAATATGCTTATATATGCTTACTTTGAACGTAGACGCTGCCAACAAAGTAACCAAAAGTACGATTAATGATTTCACTATAAACATAGTTGTGTAATTTTAATTATATAAAGGTCCACGCATGCTGGTTAAAACAAAATTCGGTTTTAAATGAGACGCATTGTGTATGTGATGCCGGTTTTATACCAAAACGCATACTGAAATGATTTTAGTATAAACATGTCTAAAATAACCATAACAATCATTTGGGTTTTATATAAAATAAAATCACGAATGTTTTTCTTGGTCGACACCATTTACAATGTGACACGTTGGAAAGAGGATGGGTAGACCAAAAATAAATTTGTTATTATCCAGTGCATCCAGTGAGTAGATTTGCATTTTTGAAATATGTTATCTTGCAGTAGTTAACTTTTTTACTTATAAATCCAAAAATTATTCACTCATTTATTACACTGTACAACGCAATTTGGTACCAAAAACTAAAATACAATTATATTTTTAGGGGAATTTGTTTACTAGGTCTAGTTATTTTTTAAATCGCTTTCAAAGTCGTAAGACGAAGAGTTTTTTTGGTATTTTCAGTGACTTTAAAAATTAAAATTGATTACAAATATGTTTTTTTATTAAATTTTCTTGCCAGAATTCAGAAATGATAAATTAATCACTAAAGAAAATGTGAGTTATCGCTTTAAAAGTTGTTTATTTATATGATTTATGAATGAATGTGTTGAATTTGTGGTGTTTATTTATATTTTCTGAATATTTTTCTTTCTTAAAAACTGTCTCTTATTTTTTGGTCTCTTGAACGATTCTTCCGAATTAAAAACTCTCTGTCATTTAAATCCCTTGCATAATACCGTTGAGCTATGTTTTTTAATAATATGAGTAGGTAAGTAGCAGAAAAAAACAAGCCAGCTGAAAATAAAATCAGGAAAACACTGTTGTGTCATTAGTTTTAATTACCAAAAATCTTAACCGAACTTTTAATACCTGTATCACCTAAATCGTAACCAATACGCACTAGGTTATCCGTACTGGTTAGTTAGTATCCGCGTGTCGTAATTCAAATAGATTATAATTATTATTATGGTCGCTTTGACCTACTGTTTTACTTCACACAATTACGTGGTAACTGGTAAGTAATGGACGAAGTAGGGAAAGTGTACATTACACGTTGATTACCAGCTACTGACGTTGTAACTTAAATAACCTTATTTTCGAAACATACAAATTAACTTGTTAACATTGCATATAAACAATAAGGTATTATATACCTAGCAAAAATACATATTTTCAAAATAAGAGTTTTTTAAAAAAAGTTGTGTACAAATATTTGTAAACTATTAGGTTATTAGTATAATATTTTGTACGTGTTTTGTAAATATTTGCGGTATATTTTTAATAATTTTAAACAATTTTTTTTAGTTAGCATTTAAACAAAAAACAGTTTTGTGCGAAAAAATCATTGTAACATACTTAAAAAATAATGAAAACATGTTTGACACCATTTTGAAAATAGTTAAATTTGTTTGCTAATTTATAAATTAAGTTTACATGATAATTTTTTTATAACGGTAAAATTGTGCTATTATATTATACATAATGTTATAAACTACAAAATACAATAGGTTTCAGAAAAAAATGTTTAGGTATTAAACAAGGTGTAATAAGGTTAATTTTGGAATTATCTTTAGTATAAATCTTAAGTCGTTATCGTTGCGCCTATAAATTGGCCAAGAAAATTTGACGTGTCAAACAATGATCTAAACAAACTATTCTAATTAAAGTTTATTTAATTTTAAGATGCCAAAGTCGAATACAAGAAAAAAATCGTAAATTCTTTGGTATTTTTTTTTGTATTTAAAGCGGAATAGAATGACATTATTTTTTTTAATTTTAAAGTTTTATTTTAATTTAAATGCTTAAGAAGACGCTACCCACCCGTAATTTATCCGCAAAAAATGGCTTTGCGGGGGACAAGAATGTGAAGGCGATATTTACAGTAGCCGTATTCAATTTTTACAATGGATAGAGAAGAACTTTATTTACGGGGTAGCGATTTTAGTTTTTTGATAACTTAATCACAATTAAAATTATTTCTTCGTGAAGATTCTATTTTTTTTTTTCAATTTTCATTTGTTTATAAAAAAATATTAAATATAGATATCAAACAAATAAAATCACTACCCCGTAGATAAAGTTCTTCTGTATACATTGTGAAAATTTGGTAAATCTACTGTTAATACTGCCCTCACATTCTTGTCCCGCGCAAAGCAGTTTTGGTGGGAAAAAAATTGTAATTTATCCTATAGAAGTGACTGTGATAGTCTGACGAAAAAAATGGCAATCAATAAAGTATCCTCATTACTGTATTAATAAGTATATTATATAGTTCAAACTCTAATTTAAGATTTTTCGAAAAATTGCCTATACTTTACTCCTTAGAAATGGCCTGGGTAGCGTCCTCTTAAGTACACTCGGGTTTTAATAAGTGCATAATACTGACTATCGGTATCACGTGAGGTTTGAAAATTTCATTAAAAATATTTCTTTTTCTGTCAGCCAAAAATATAGGTACAGACAATTTTTGTCAATATAATTTTTACATAGTAGTTTAAAAATGTAATAAAAATTGTATACAAATATTTATTATGAATATCATTAATTTATTATATCTAATATGTTTATGTTTTATAGATTGTGTAATATGTTAATAACATATATATATATGTTTAATGATGATTTGTTTCGTTTAAATTATTTCATTGTTGATCAATAATTGTTCACACGAGAAACATATTCCTTCAAAAATTTAGGATTTTGCATATTTACTCTTTAAGTATAAAAAGTTTAAAATTAATAACAATCCATAACACTATTTCTTAAAATTATCTTTTAAATTGAGGGTTCACTAAAATTGTTGGTCAAAATATCACGATTTTGTGAGTAATTGTTACTTTTTAACGGTATTATAACTTTACAGTGAATTTGACTAGTTTCGCCAAGTAAAATGTAAACAGTGTAAAATATAATTTCCAAGAATCGCAAGTGTTATTAGTGATTTATACGTTTTAATAAGATCAATATTACAGAATATGTATACGTTATTGTAAAATGATCACGTTTTAACAAAATGACCTTCTTAGAAGTAAAACAAAAAGATATTGGAAAATTTAGGTCTATCTAAATATTATACAATAGTTTTTATAATAACTTTAATAGTATTAATTTACATAATTACTTTTTAAGAATAGTTTCAAAATCGTACTAACTTTTTTTTTCCTGATAAATATATTCGAAGTAAAAAATAATTACAATAAAACAATATTCATACAGCCAATAAATTATTGATCTTAATTATGCGAATAAATATTGAGGGGTTTTGTATATGTAATAAATACATACCAATCTACTGAAGTTGCCTACGCATTGCACAACTAGGCGGTGTGTTGATAACGTTGTTATTTTTTACCATTTGTTTTTTAATAAATAAAAAATAATTACGCTAGATTTATCTATGGATTGGCATACGTGTAGCCAAATTCCCGAACAAATAATAAAAACCGATATCCCAACATATCCAACATGTAATTTAATTGTAGTATTAATCATACTGATTTTTTAAATTTTCATTTATATCATGTTTATTTAATGTAACCTAATAATCGCATTTAAGGGATACTGGTAGTTAGCTTATTTTATGATTTTAATAATAATACTCCGAGTGGTATGTTAAAATTGTTTTTATTTGTTATCAAAAGATAGTGTAATCATTTAGAATACATATACTAAAATGAATCTAATGAACAGTGTTTTAACTTGTTTTTATCATAATAAAAAAAAATCTAAGTTTTTAGTTAATTCCTGTAATTCAATACAATTATACATGAATTATATTATAGACCTCAAAAAACTATTTATATTTATGTAAACATTTTAGCAATAAATATTTAACAATTTGTTTTCAATTTATTTTCTATTAAAAGTAGAATTTTTAAATTCAATGTTAGCAGTTTCAGTATTTGTCCCTACTTATTTTACTGCGTTTTCTTAATTATTTTTTACTGTTGTAATTATCGAACTTAACTTGTTATTATAAGGTCAGAGTCTAAACTGGGTACAATGAATATGTTGACTATACATCATTACCGGGTAAATGTACTTACATATTAAATAATAGTTCATGTGTTTTATTATCGCAATCAACAGATGATGACATCGACCAGTTACAGTACAGCTGATGGTATCAAAGGTATACCTACACGTTTTTATCAGTAAAACCAATTTTCAACAATAACATTAATTTTGTATACAGTAAGATAATATAATGTTTGTTTAACGTTAATTTTTTTTTACACTCATATTTATCTATAATAGTTTTAACTTATATATTACATTATAAGTACTTATAATTATATTTCAGTTGAGATAATAGATTACTGTAAATGTGTTAGTATTGACTGTAATAATTGCACTGGAGTCAAGTTTAATATATATTTGCATTTTTTCCGTTAAATATTAGTTAATTTTTTTATAAAATATTCATATTCTAAAACATTTTTACACGATAATTGTTATTTTAAAGACTTGTCTGCTTTGCAAATTATAATAACATGTCTACTAGTGTGGCGTTCACGGTGTTGACCGTTTTGTCGTTGTTCACGTTGTGGTGGCCGTCCACTTGTATGGCGGCCAACGTGTTGGCTGTCCAACCGTTGGCGGCTCGTAGCCACTGGACATTTATGCGCGCGGTACTACAGACAATGGTCGACAGCGGGCACAACGTAACCGTGTATACTCCGTTTCATTCGACTGGAGCCGACAACTTTCCAAGCGGTGTCGGTTACACCGAAGTGCCGTTGAAGTTGGCAATGCCGGAATTACTTGGCCTCGATGTGCTAACGTCGGTTCGGGATTTTAGCGACGTTTGGCGGTTTGTTCCGGTTGGCGTGTGGTCAAGCCGCTCGGCGTGTGACATAATCGCCGGGCTGTCGTTAACCGGCCAATACGACCTGTTCGTCGTCGAGCTCATTTCGTCCGAGTGCGTGTCGTACTTGTCGCGCGTGCTCGACGTGCCACTATTGTACACTTTTCCGTCGCCTATGGGCTCTTGGATGGACGACCAGGTGTTCGGCACCAACACCAACCCGTCGAACACCGCTCGACTGTTGGCCCGTTATGGCGTGCCCAGAACGTTTGCCGAGCGGTTGGACAACGTACACGGGCAAGCGGTGGCGTTGGCGCTTCACTGGCTATACGAGCAGACCGTCGAGCACGAACATCGGAAACCGTCGGTTATGTTCACCAATTCCGATTGGACGGTGGAAAAACATGAGCCCGCCCCCGTCAACTTGATCCGTGTTGGAGGTTTACACTTGTCTACACCAAAACGATTGCCCCTGGTAAGCGACATTTCCACTTAATGTATTGCTACTTACCGATGGCATAGAACACAACGTGTGATTAAATAGAACATGAATTCATAACAATTGAGGTGATTGCATGCGGTCTGTTTTTAAGGAGCTTTGCATAGGAAATATTAAAAAAAAAAAAGAAGTTTTAATAAATTTCAACCAATTCAATTAATATACTGGTTAATTCGTATAAGCTTCAAAGAAATATTTTTAATTTAAATAATTTTTGCCATTTTGGTTTATCTTGGACTAAAAAGCCAGACAAACTTTCGACTACATAGGATGGTCAAATTTCAGTTCTGTAAAGAGATTAGAGTTCCTTGGCTACTTACTATGTTATGCAGAAAGCCGATTTTCATTTAAAAAGTTCAGTTTCTTGTAATTAAATAATTTTGTAATTTTTTTAATATTGAAACCCAATTTTTTTTACATAAAAACAAAAAATAAAAATATGTTTCCTACATAACCTAGTAAAGTTGAACTCGTATGTCATTTATAAAATTTAAACCTGACATTCTGACCATCCTAAGTAGTCGACATTTTGTCTGGCTTTTTAGTCTAAAATGTCAGAAAAAAAACAGATTACATGCAATATAATATAATATATTATATCTATAAGTAATCGTTTTTGTGAACGTCAACATTATTTAACTATGATAAATTTGTTTATAGTTCCATAAAGAGTGCTAATCCGAGTATTTAAAACGAGTAGTTTTGTTGAATTAACATGACTTATAATTTACAATTATAGTAGTCGTAAAAAAATACACCGTGTAAACTTTATCAGTTATCACCGAATGCTATTCAAAATAACATACAACATTTGTTTTATTCTTTATTCTAAAACAAAAACCAGCTTATTAAATAAATATTATAAATATTATATTTAATATATTAATAAATATATGATATATATAAATAATATATTACCCATAAATGGGTATATGGTACCAGGTACATATACATATATAGGTTATTTACGTTATTATCGCGGTCGATAAAGTTATCCGTAAGTAGTATGAGCTTCTTTCCTAGTTAGTTGACCTTAAGTCACGTGAATCGAAGGTATTAGATTGCGGTTCATTAAAAGTTTACACAATAAACGCATTCATCTTTTTATTGTAGTTTAGTAAACTGGCATGAACATAAATTGTAATTGTTATAATTTTTTGATTTATTTCTACATAAAAACTCTACATTTTTTACACGAGATGAGCGCATTCAAGTTTTTGATATTGTTGATAGTTCAGTGTTTGACCGTGACTGAAGGAGCCAGAATTCTAGCCGTAGAAACCGTGGCCGGCAGATCGCATTGGAATTTTTTAAGTGCAATCCTCAACACGCTGTCTACGCGACATCAGATCACGGCGGTCACGCCGTTCTTAGAGGGAAACCGCGAAAACTACACCGAAATCGACATAAGTCAGGAGTTGTTTTCATTCTTAAACGTTTCGTTGTTGAAGATGAAAGAAGGATTCGGGACGCCTTGGTCGTTTTCGGTAAACGCGCACTTGCACAGTCGAATCAGTTGTGATCATATATTACACTTTAAACCGCTCAAAGATATCATTTTACGGGGCCGCGGCCAATATGATTTGTTAATACTCGAACCCACGTTAAACCCTTGCTCGGCGTACTTGGGCTCTAAGCTGGACGTACCCCAAGTGTACGCTATACCGTTTTTGTTACCTACGTGGACGAATGCCCTGATGTTCGGTCACAGGTCCAATCCGTCGCACGAGGCCAACATGTTTCTGTCGGCCACCGTACCAAATGGGTTCTGCCAGAGGTTTCACAACACCATAATACACATGGTAACGGTCGGGGTACCGTGGTTCATGGCAACAGTCAATGGTCTGCGGCAACCGGACAGATATTACGATTTGATATCCGTCAGACACGATCCCGCAATGGTGTTCGTCAACGACGATCAGGCGCTTGGCAACACCAAGCAAATTCCGGTAAACATGAAACAAATCGGCGGCATACACCTCAGCTCACATCCTCGACCTTTGCCGACCGTAAGTGTATAAGATCATTATTACATTACAGATAACGCAGAAAAAATTATATATACGCACGTAGAAACGTAGAATAGCGGTTTGGTAGGTGCGCGGGTGTGTAACAATCGAAGACACGCATTCAGTGGAGCAATTTGCTTCAAAAAGTAAAATTTTTTTAAGTGGGGGAAGATGACCCAATTGTTCTACTTCAAACGTTAATTACTGTCTAGACATGGTTATTTATCGATAAACGTGAAAATATGTTTTCAACAAAAATTGTTCTTTACTATTACACTCATCAATGTGTTTTAAGAACGAAGTTAAAAAAGTATTAAAAACTAATATATTTTATGCGATATTAAGTGAAACTAAAATGTCTACAAAAAGAACAATCGTAAAATAGTAATTATTTTCCAAAAAAATAGCGTCTTACTTTAACGAATCACCTTCTAGATCGAGATTTGAATTTCCAATGTAGTGCAAGGATATCAGCATCATTAAGAATTCGACCGACTAACTCATCCTTCGCTCTTGACATTCTCTCCACATTTAATTGAATGATTCTTGTATTACTTTTTGTACCCTTTTTTTACCAATATCACAATTATTAATCGTCGTTGTATATACAGTTTTTTCGTTGTTTACATTTTTTTGAATATTTTTTTTTAACATGTTGCCCTTAGTCAAGGTAGCGCTGAAAAGACCTTTTTACGATCTGGCTAAATGTTCTTAGACCTAAATGTTCTTCTCTTCGCTTCATACCGTTTTATTACTCACTGTTTCATAAGTTACAATCATGTTTTGGAGGCGTCTTGATATTTTTATTGGAAAATAGTTCAAATTTGTGCGGGATATAAAATAAAATAAAATAAATTCCCGAAAAGTATGAAAAGTTGTTATTTTCTTTGATTTTTTTTGTGGGTATATTTAGGGATTTGACCCTGAAAATTTGACTGAAGGTAGATCTTATTATTTTTAACAAATAAGTGTGTCGTTAGCGCTGAAGATTGCAACATTGTTACACAGTGTATTATAATTTTTTTTTTTTGTTAGGGGTTTAAATATTAATTTCCTTATCCAATTGTAGAATGTCATTTTTTTACAGCCATTGATTGTAGAACAACTAATTTGCCATCAATGAATATTTCAGGTCATTAATCTCATTAGTTACCTATAACCAATTGGGTTGCAAACATTATAATTACACACTCAATATCTGAATTACTAGGTTATCAAATTATGTTCGTATAAATAATACCTTAGTTGAAAATACTAATACAAATTTTCTAACCATTAATCAGGTCGTTGAAATGATAAAAATTGTGTTTTAATCAATAACAAATACAGTCTATAAAATAAATTACAAATTCAAGTGATTATCATTATAACATTTATAACAGTTTATAATTATGACGTCATAGGAACTAAACAATGGTTCTTATTCCTTTCAATGTACTCCGCATTTGTGTTGAACGAATTGAGTCTTTTTGCCTGTACTATAATTTTACAACGGAGAATAAATTATTTTTTTCATTTCCTTACCATAATTTTTGTACTTAAGCAATACCTTGATTCCAAAAACCTTGATCGAAGGACAGTTTGAACGATCATAGTAATTATTTTGCTCTGCGTCTACGTTAATAAGTACAGCTGTTCACGTCAGTCACAATGATTCATAATTTCAACTTGTGCATGATCCAAGAATAACAAAAAAATTATCGTTATTATCATTGAGTCGGTAATGACTGCACCCTAGGACGCTGATACGCACGTTGATTCTGCCTGTAGCGACCGACCGGTAGGAGGGAACTACGCAACTACAATAATATAAATCAACGTTTTTATAACGAGGCTCTTAAATTTATAAAAATACATCACATATTATGTATGTATGCCGGTCGAATTACCGATCTACTTCAGTATTAGTTTGTTGTGTCCGGTCGAAAGTTTCCGTTTGCGTTTTACTCGTGCAGTGAACTATTATTGGACATTTGTCAACGGGCCACAACTATAGGCGTACCTATAGTTAGTTTTGATAAAAGGTGATTAATTTTACTCGAAATTAAGTTGTGTAGTGCTCGTAGGCCGCATGTCTGGGCATAAGACGCTACTTTTTCTAACCGTTCTGGTCTTGGGGACGAGTTGTGGGCCGGCGGGATGTTCAAAAATATTAGCCGTGGTCACGATACCTGGCAAGAGTCATTGGAACTTTATGGGAGACATACTCAGGACTTTATCTGGCCGCGGTCATCAAGTGACAGTTTTCACACCGTTCGCCGCCGAATGCCAAGATAACTTCACCGTAATCGACACGTCCGCCGCCACTCCGGTAATATCCAATCATCATTTTTCACTGCCCGAACTGTTATTTTTGGCCGAGCCGGTCAATGTTATACCGTCACTAGTAAACGTGTCGAGATTTAACTGCGACGCAATATACAGCCACGAACATATGAAACAAGTGTTATCCAAAGGTCAGCAGTCGGGCTTCGACGTGGTCATCACCGAACCGACGATTTCGGAATGCGTTTCTTATGTGGCCACCAAGTTGGGATTGCCTTTGATCTATGTCGTTCCGTCTCCGGAGATCACTTACATGACTTGGGACCTAATGGGGTACGTGGCCAATCCGACGGTCACCTCTCATCTGCTAGCCTGGCACGCTGTGCCCAAAACATTTTCCCAGAGACTACAAAATATCGTGTTGGTAGTTCGGACCCACTACAAACGGTATACCGAGGAGTCGAGGTTCAAAATCATCAACCCTTTGCCTTCCGACGACGTGGAACCTGTCAAGTGTTCCCTAATATTTTCCAACACACATTATATTACGGAACCGTCCAGACCGTTCCCGCCAAATTTCATACACGTCGGCGGTATTCATATAAGACCGGCTAAAAAATTGCCTAAAGTAAGTGCTACTCTTTTTTCTTAAACTATATAGTCGATGTCGCGTCGCCGCCATAAACCTCTTACACGACGTAATTATGTTTTTTTTTTATTCGGAAGAATGACGGGACCACTGTGCAAACTTACTGTATTGTGATCTTTTACATTAATTGTAGTTGGATGTATGTATCTTGAATCTAGTTTTCAAATTTAGGATTTTGAAATTGGGCCTGAAGTATTACAAACACTTCTCCTTGTGAAAACGAAAGGGTTTTTAGGAAAGTTGATTATCGACTCACTTACCTAGTTACACTTTGTTGAAGTTAAAACTTGAAAAATCAAAGTTGTTTAGGTTTTTCTCTAATGCAAAATGGGAAAAAAAAGAACCTTTTAAACTTTTGGTTTATGAAGTACGCCGATGGATCTATTGCACGGTTACTTTGGGAAATCGGTTTAGTGGTTAAAATGGTGGTGCTATTGTGTAATGGGGCATACAATTATATGGATATCAAATATTTGCAACGATAGTTAAGTATATATTCTAGTTTGAATGAAATTATGGTTATACACGTAGCCGCTTTCCTTGCCAACTATGTGTATTCAAATATAAAGTCAACACTGCGCAAGGATATGTAATAAAATAATTAGCTAAACATTTTTTACTAAAATGTACGAAATTTGTTTTATAAGACTTCTTCTAAAATAATAGCGTGATAAAAAAAATATATTATATTTAATTAGACGAAAATGTATTTATAAAATACATATTTGGAAAGACTGTATTTTTAGGTATGTATGCACCGTTTTTAGGGTTCCTTAACATACGTACCTGTAAATTATATTGTTTTTATTATTGATAATAACATCAAAGTAAATTAATAGTTTGTAGACGCTTAAAGAGAATAACAATAATTATTCTACTTGTTGGACAAATTGTCCATTTTATTTGGTGGTAAAGATATAAAAGTAAATTATTCATCATTTGCTGCGATCTGATAGCAAATCACCTCACCCCCAAACAAAAACGCCATATGAATGTAAACTTTGGGCTTGATTTTCTCGAAATCAATAAAATGTCACTTATACCCCTTATGTTCTAGGCGCCTCATATACAAACTATCTGACTAATTTGTAGACTGTTGTTAATAATGTGTATAGATTACAGTGACTAGTATAAAATATTAGGTATTAACACGTTGGTCTTCCTAATTTAATTTATCATGTACTATGTAAAATTTAGTTTATCATAGTTTTTTTTGTTTAGAATTAACGTTACAATAATTTATGTGTTGTGGTCATCATAAATTGAGATTTGGAAATAAAAGAATAAAGATTATTTGGATCATATTTATCCTTCTGATTTTTGCTAATAGAAAAGTTGAACTCACCTATTTGTCGTCAACAAAATTGTTCTTACTCAAGCAATGTCTAATGCGTTATTTTTTAACTTTTAAATATTTTAAGACCTAGTGACTATTAATTTTATGATTTTTAATAGAAGATAAATTTTATCTAAGATTGTTTTTTTCATGAGTTATAAAAAGATCTAAAAAGTTGCATTTCAATAAGATTTATAGAATATTTGTTTGTTTCAGGATATCTTAGAGTTTATCGAGAATTCACCACATGGAGTTATATATTTTACGTTTGGATCTGTTGTATCAATGTCGACGTTGCCAGAAAACCTGCTAAATGCATTTAAAGAAGCACTGGCCCAAGTACCTCAACGAGTTTTATGGAAATATGAAGGCGAAATGAAAAACAAACCAGCCAATGTAATGACAAGCAAGTGGTTTCCACAACGCGATATATTGTGTAAGTCTTTTATACATTTATTTAAAAAAAATACATACTAAGAATGGTCTTTTATGTAACCAAAAAAAGTATTATAGGTAGGTAGTTATAGTATTATAGGTAGGTAGGAAAAAAAGTGTCCCAAGTGTGTGAAAAATAATAAAGGATATTATCTAAGAACAAAAAAAAATTTATACTAAGAGTATGCGTATGAGGCGAAATGAAGCAATTACTGTTGTAATTAAAATGTTTATCAACGATAAAAGTATTAAGCCTATACTAGTTTTCCTTAGTAAGGATTGACTTACAATGGTCATACGATGGCCTCGTTACATACACTGCGTTACTTACGTAGACTAACCTATACTAACTTAGTAACCTTGTGTCTATTATTTGTATAATACTTTGTAGGCTTAGTAAATGAGAGCATAAGGACGTTGAACAACATTATGGTTTTAGTATAAATAGACCTGAAACGAAGAATTTGAAATTAGAGTTGGCGAAATTGTTTGTAGTTAATTTGAATACGGGTTGTGTGAAGAGGACTTGTGAAGAGAAAGAGAGAGAGAATGATTATAGTGATGGGTAGGGAATGCGATTTTGGCTTAGGCAACCGATCCGGATGGGATAAAGGCCTTGTGTCCTATACGGAAAGAAGAATAATTTTCTATCAATATTATCACGTTTGCAGTGCATCCGAACGTAAAGCTGTTTATAAGTCACGGTGGTATATCTAGTGTATACGAAGCTGTAGACGCCGGAGTTCCAGTACTTGGTTTCCCACTGTTCTACGACCAACCGAGAAACATTGCGAATTTGGTGGACGCCGGGATGGCTTTATCGATGGACTTGTTTACCGTGTCCAAAGAACCGTTTTTGAACGCTGTGCTAGAACTCATCAACAACCAAAAGTATAAGCGAGCGATTACATTTTATAATTAAGAAATATAATGCAGCATCTAATCTTACTATTAATTACAGTTATACCATAAATGCTAAAATCACATCAGAACGATTCAAAGACCGGCCAATGACACCTGCCGAGTCTGTCATCTATTGGACGGAATACGTTCTACGTCACAAAGGAGCGCCTCATTTAAGGTCGCAAGCTTTAAATTTGACATGGTATCAGTATTATTTACTGGACGTGATAGCCGCGATTTTAGTAATATTATCCGTTATATTATATGTTATTTATAAAACGCTGAAAGTTATCCTACAATTTGTATTAAAACGTCCGAACAAACTGAAATCGAAATCTGAGTGAAAAAAAAATGTGAATTACAAACAAGGTTTTATAATTGTTAAATTCATCTGTAACGATCGAAATCCATATATAAATTGTAAATCTTGTATATTGATACGAACTATAGTTATAATGACGTTAAAATAATTAACTTACAGTTTGTAAAATTGTAATAACTGTATAGACGAATTTGTTGTTTATTAGTTGTGTTTAACATATATATTGTAACAAATTACTACACAAATAAACTAACATCTTGCGAAGAAGACGTCACACATACTACTTTTTAAGGCGTTTGGTATAGGCAACTAAACTTTTTTGAAGAGATTTCTAATTATTTTAAAATTCATTTTTTTTGTCTCATTTAACTTAGTCTAAATTAAAAAATAGTTTGAATACTTAAGAGAGTACAGTAACCTTGGTTTGATCATTTTATTAATGCCAACATCATGTGCTTAGAGAGGTGTTTACGGATTGATAATAGATATTTTCGCACCTAAAAAAATAGTATGTGTGGTGTCCTCTTAAAATATTTCATACCATCTTAAATGAAAAATCATTATATATTCTTGTTGTAATATTAACAATATTAATATATTATGTTAAAATGCATATTAAATCCACTTGCTAAAATTATAATAATACATTTTTTTTACAATTGGAGTCGGACATTATTATTTAAATACAATTGTAAGTGAACAACATATCATTCTAACAAAAATTCTTTATTAATTGATATTTTAGAAAGTGTTGTGAAAAACTTTATTGGAATAGAAAGATAGATAATTTATTTAATAATGAATCTTATGTTTACCTTAGATTTAAATCTTTTATCTTAGTAATACAAAAACAATAAAAGTAAATATTTTATAGTGATGACGTTTTGAATTTCATATGACATTTTCTAAACGAAATTCCTTTGTTATGTAATAATTTTATTATATGTAACTATAGCTTCGCTTGCAGCCTTGCACCATTAGTTTAAAAGAAACGTATAAAATCAGACGGTTAAAAATCAAGTGTCCGGTTTTGGTTACTTAAGGGTTTAGTAAGCGATGGTTTAAAAGAGAACGTAATGTCTAGAGGTTAGTAGGCTAAAATATCGAATGTCTGGTATTTGTAGATACCTATAACAAACTTTATCAAACGTAGCATGTTATATGTCTTGATATTGGTTGAATTAAAATCTTTATTTGTTGGCGCAAAAATCAGAGATAACACGCCGCATTGCGTGCCGTTATCAATGCCGTCGTCCGAGACAACATAATATTTTGGCGCAGCTATCAAACACAGGCGGGGCCATGGAAAAGACGAACAGCCTCAAGACACGGCCATGGAAGAAACGAATAGCTTACCGCTATGAAATTATTCTATGCGATATTCTATGCGATACTATGCGATTTAAAGATTTGACACATGAAGTGTGAACGTGTGGGTTTGCCATTATTTTTATCTATACTACTTGAGTTTCTAATTAAGCCTAACCGTTACCAGGTATTCTATATAACATGTTGAGTGATCTGAACACTGCAAATTTATTAAATGTCGGTCAATACCAATTAGTTTTTGTTTTTTTTATTATTTCACTGTGACTCGGAAATTGAAATTTTCATTTCCCAAAATCGTATGCGCATCGCGTCAGTATAACAAAAAGGTAAATTTGGTTTTCTTTTGATCCTACGAGAGAATATTATTTAAAACTTTTAGACTCAGTTGTAACCAGAGTTGTGCATCATTCGAATAAAACGTTATCTAAATAATCATCTAGATGACATATTATTCAAATATGTTCTTATATTAAAAATATTATTTAAGTAGTTCGTAAGTGTTTTTTTTTTTTTTAAGTAATTATATTTAAAAAATGATTTTAAATAAATCTGATATATACTAGTTACTACATTTAGAAAAAAAATAATAATGATACATGAAGGGTGATTCTTTTATCATTCTTTTACCACTCAATATCGTATAGGGTTTAATAAGAAATTTAATTTTAGCTTTGCCGTGGAGCTGAGAATGTATTGATTATTGTATAATGTGTTTTTTTGTATCTGTAGACACGATGACTTTTTTTACTGTGGAGCGAATTACTTGTGTATCACCATTTTTAGATCCGAAATCGTATGCAATTGGTACTATGGTGAGTTAAAAGTCGAAAAAATCAATTTCTTCATCCCCGAAAAAAGTTTGTGGGTTTTTCAACTTTCAACTTCAATTTGCTATAACTTAGCAAAAAACGGTCGTATATAGTCTAAAATTGTATAGAACACATTCCCTCAAACCCAAATTTTTACAATCCCTCGCCCATGGACGGGGTCTCGGAAGATTTTTTATATTTTAGGAGAAATTTTAAGGCTTAAGAGCTGAAAATTAGACCGAATTGATCTTGAATATTGAATAGATCTTTTGTGTATCAATAAGTTGAAAAAAAAACTGTAGTTAAAATTTTTTTTATTAAGGAAAAACACGAAAAATCTTAAAATATGGATTTTGAAAGCTATTTTGGAATTAAGAACTTAAAATTTTGTATAAGGACTATTATATGATTTCAGTATAACTTTATCAACTTTATAGTTATAAAGTTGATGGTAACTGTATGTGTTACCATTTAAATGTCAAAAGTTACTATAAGAAAAACAAGTTGAGAGGGGGTTAAAAACAAAAAAAAATGTGAAAAAATGAGTTCATCATCATCATGATGAACTCATTTTCATCATGTAGCTTAACGGGCCATGAAGGCCCAACGCTGCCATCATGAGATGGTTTCTTGACGAATTCGCTTCCGGGACGGGTCGTCAATCCGTCGCCGGAGAGGGGGATGGCGGTTCTTTTTTACCGGACGATTGCGCGCCCAGCAAACGGAGCGCCTGTGACCGAGTGTCGAACCGGCGACAGTGAGCGCTAACACACTGCCGCCTTACCCACTCGGCCACTCCTCCTGCTAAAAATGAGTTCACGTTGTATAAAAATAATATGAAAAAAAATTTTAATTTCTTATTAAATACAATGAGATTTAAGTGGCCCATGATAAAAGAATCACCCTGTATAGAAAGATAATTTTTTTATTCGAATAACTTTTTATTGGAGTACGAATTATTATTATCTGTATTAATGTAGATTATTTTCATTTATTTTTTAGGATAAAAAAAATATATGTATGTAATAATTATTTGTATCTATATAAAATGTTTACGAATGTGTATTATATGTTATCACTTATCACATAACACAACAAATCTAAACAATTTAAAAAATACCATTGCACAACACTGTTCATTAGCGACATCACCCTACTGTTCTTGCAGAATGAATGCTATAACATGTAGTGTGGTTGTCTTTTTGGTTATGCACCTTTTCATCGGGTCAGACTGTGCAAAAATTCTGGCAGTGGAACAAATCGCTGCGAAATCACATTGGAATTTCTTTAGCTCTGTCGTGAAAACCCTTTCCACTAGACATCAAGTCACCGTTTTGACTCCTTACCCCGAGGGCAGTAGAGAAAATTACACCGAAATCGACACCTCTCGCGTGTTTACACATTTTTTGTCTATGGACGCCGAATACGTTGTGAATAATTTTAAGAAACCAAAATATTATTTTCCCAAATTGATTGAATTGACCCAAGAGTTCTGCGACAACATCAAAGAAGTTCAAAGAAATTACTTGCCAAACGGCACAAACGGATTCGACTTGGTCATTTCCGAACCTCTCCTCGGCGACGCTCCTTGTTCGGCCGAGTTGTGCAACCGGTTCGGAATTCCCCAAATATACTTGATCCCCTCGTCGATGTTGACTTGGAAACAACGGACCTACTTCGGCACTCTGTTGAACCCTGCGTTCGTATCCGATCTGTTCTACAGTGGAGTTCCGAAAAATTTCGGACAACGTTTCGAAAATGTAGTGATGCACGTGAACTCTTATTTTTGGTCGTGGTACTCAGAAGTCAAATTGCTCTACAGAAATTGGGAGAAGTTTGAGAAGTCCCAAGACAATCCAGCGTTGGTGTTCACCAACACACATTTCATTACAGAACCAGCAAGATCTTTTCCTACAAACATGATTCAAGTAGGCGGCATCCATTTGTTCGCCAACAAACCAAGAGTACTCCCAATAGTAAGCTCATTCGAGTAATGTATAAATAATAATAAGATATTACTTTATCTAGTAATCCTGCTTTCAAGAATGCTTTAAATGATATTATTTATCTTATAAAATGTATATTACTCTGTTTTTTGTAGGAATTACTCAGTCGAGTAAGCTAAAAAAATAAATGAAAATTATTATAGTTATTGCGATTAACAAGTTGAAAATGGTCTATAAATAATACATTAACAATTTAAGTCAAATTATAATATTTGAGTATAAGATATTGTTGTGTAACAATTATGTAATAATTGTTTGCATGATCGGGGTTTGCACGCTTACAACATTTTTAAGAGAAATGAAATCTAATTTTGTTTGACGAAAGGAAGTATTTTGAAGTAAAACCTCTTTTCTTTAAGTTTAAGGGGCCTCTGGATACCGACTGTTTTTTTCAGCCAAAACACATCATTGTTTGTCCATCGCACAGGTCGAACCAGTGATCCGATAAGCAATCTAAAAACAGATATGAATTCATCATGAAGTTTACTTGAGATCGATCAGAGCACTTTTTTTAATTTTTAATTTTAACCCTTACCAAAGTCTAAATTTGATTTTAAAATTTTAAATTTGATAAAATGTTGAAACGTGTTTTATGCGTAGTAAGAATAAAATATAAAAAAAATACGCTGACCGATCTCAAGTAAACTTCATGACGAATTCAAATCTGTTTTCAGATTACTTATCGGATCACTGGTTCAGCCTGTGCGATGGACAAAAAATGTACTATTATATTAACTAAAATGGCTTTTACTCATAGACAAAATTATTTAAATTAAATATAATACATTGAAGCTTATACACATTAACCGGTAAATTAATTGACATGGTCGAAATTAATTAAAACCACTTTTTTCTTAAATATTGCTTATACAAAACTCCTTAAAAATGGTCGGTATCTAGGGGCCTTAAGCTAAAAGACATATTATTCAAAAATCTGTACGAAAATCAATTTCTAATTAATTAATATTTGTAATCACTGTAGTTTTCTGTACTTATTACAAATTCCTAAGTAAAAGTATACTCCTCAATACAGTAGAAACATAAGAAATTATATCACTTATAATTGACATCACAATAGGTAAAATGGTATACAGGTATAATAACACGTGGCAATAACGAGTCATCACTTAGAGTATGACGGCATTATTACTAGATTCTACTGGAGTAATTGTAAACGAATGGGGCAAATTATATTTTTTGAATGAAGTAATTGACGATTTTCAATTTTAACTATGATATGTTAGTTATCATCATAATAAATAAAATGCAAATATTGTTGGTACATTTCAATAAAAAAATTGCATTTCAATTTTCTCAATTCGCTTACAATTACATCCACATAACCCTATACAAACAACAGGTATAGTCCGCGTGCCGTCTGGCTGCTGATAGAGCTGATGTAGACAACATCGAAATAACAAAACAATGTTTGCTATTTTCCTCCGTCAAATCCTAACCTTTGATTTAGGACATCTTAGAGTTCATCGAGAAATCGCCACACGGAGTTATCTATTTTACGTTTGGATCTATAGTGTCACTGTCAACGTTGTCGGATCGCATTCAAAAGGCGTTTAA